TCCACGTTTCAAAGATATCAAAGGCTTGGTGAATATTTGTCATTACTTTGACAATGTAAACACACTTTAATATTTTGTAGATAGCAGATATAATTCTCTATCCCTGTTACAGATCGAACAGGATTTTGTACTGATGTTTGGTGAGGATGTATCAGGCAGGTTGCTGGAGAGGTGGCCAACAACATTCAAAAGAAAAATTATCCAACAAGGCAGAAAGCTTCCTTCTACCAGTGACCTGGAAGAACTCTTGCTGGCAGCTGACTCACCTGAGGATGGCACTGAAGTTAATGCTGACATTGGTGAGCTGTTGTTTCTTTGATTAGCACATTCATAGCATATATAATGTTTGTCACAGAACAGTTATCCTTTTTGTCTTTTGGGTCTACTCAAACATTTTATCAATGCATTGAAATATATTGTTGATGATGATTCAACTTTATTAAAAACAAATAATTTTTGCAGGCTGGGACAGTGACCTCTCAGCAATTCTATTGCTATTACACCTGATTCCACCATCTGGTCAGGGTCGGAAGAGACCAGGAAAGGTGTCAGCTTCTCAAGCAGAAAGGGTTCTTGTGGTCTTCAAGAAGGTTTGTGTTTTTCTATTTTTATGGTATGAATTACCAGTTTAAGAAAACTTGATTCTTATTGCCTGTCTGTATTTGTCTTTTCAGACTGGAACAAATATCCAAGAGCACCTTGATGCCATCACTGCCAGCACTCAACCGTACCTCCTGGCTGTTGGGGTGAAAAAGAATGACATCCACCGGTTCTTCATTATTCTTGACAAGAATGCCATACCATGCAAGTCTACCTCTTCACTTGGTTCTTTTGATGAACTGTTTAAAGTACATTTTGTGTTTGGCACATCTTACAACAATATGCTTCACAACATGTACACGTTCATTCAAACCACAGGTTTTAGAAAACATTTAAATACCAAACACCTTAACTATTTTGACCAACAGGCTGACACTGGTGTTAATCTACAGCCTGATGTGGCAGTTAAAGAAGTTAGCACTACAGGGGAGGTGATGTCAACTAATGTAGAAGAAACACCCACAACATCTGAAAAGGGCAAATACTCTAAGAGCACTTTGGATATGTGTGCCTCTGCTGTTGCACAGCTCAGGGCAGCTGGATTAAGCCAATCTACTGTGAACAGTTTTGTCTCCTCAATGGAGGAAGTGTTTTTTGAGATTCATTCTCAGGCTAAAGATGCAGCCTTACAGAGTGTACCTTTACAGTACACCACAAGTAAAAATAAATATAATAGTAATAAAATAAAGCATTGGGAGTACTTTAGCCTTGAAAGATTAGCTTTAGGACCAGGAAAGATGGTGACACTTGGAGAGCTGGAAGAAGGTCCAGAATTTGCTTGGAGCTGTGTTGTCTACCAGTTTGTTTTCAGCTAAGTGGATAATAACACACAGTACAGAGTACCGCCCTGACTTTATCATCTGTACAGATGTAGTGTCTGAGATTCTGTTTTTTTGTAAGATCAAAAGTATTGTTGTGAAAGATGGCATTGTATTGCTCTGCGGAAAACTGATGGAAACCCTGTGTTTTGATGACCATCATCATGCATTTAGGAACAGACTGCATCCCAATATGGTGCTGAAGGTGTTGAAGATAAATGAGCTGTGTTGCTTCTTCAAATCAAGTATGGCATTTCAGATTCCTCCCTGTATGTCGTTCCATATTGCCGTTTTATGCCAAACTAAATTCATTGTTTTAAAGTGTTTTATACACTGCATGAGATGTTTTTATATTTTGAGCCTGACATGAAAATAAAGCTGTTAAATGTATTATCTAGTTGTGGTTTTTGCTTACTTGTTTTATATGTAAAAGCATTATTAAAACCAGGTTTTCGTGCTGCAAAACAGTGAATTGTGTGTAAAGGTAACACTACAGGAAGAGTTTTAGTAACACTACTTGGTGTAAAATTAATTACAAATTTTACTCTATGAGAGCTAATTTTTCACTAGAGATTAGTGTATGAATAACACAGTATAGAGTAACATCAACTCCCATCAGAGTTCTTTGAACCCCAGTGTTAATTTCAAATAACTCAATTCAGTGTTAAAAATCAGCGGGATTTTACTCAAAGAGTTAATTCATCACTATGATAGAGCAAATAATATGACACTACTAGTAGTGTTAAGTTGATTTAACACTATGCGGTGTTACTCAGTGTTAAATATTTACTCTATTTAAAGTTAAATTTACTCTAAAATGTTAACACTATAGAAAGAGTTGATTTAACACCAATTCCGAATGGGACCAAATAGACTCGGAAACAGTGTTAAATTTAACTCTTTAAGTGTTAGTTTGACACTGCAAATTTTACTGTGTACTTCAAGCATGCAGACCCTGAATTGGGACACAGCCATAGACTGCCACTCAGCCATACTTGTTTTACACCGCTGCCTTATGAATACTCCACCTTTTATGTTTCTGTGTCCTGCTTTCTAAGTTATCATCTTATGTTTTCTCCCAATCACAGTATTTGATCTGGGCTGTGACACTGTCTTAACTATGTGTTGAAAGGCACCATTTATATATGCCATTAAAAGAGTCATCAAACAATCAAAAACTATAAACTTCTGTAAAATGTAACGCACTAAAAATTCAATCTACAAAAGCAATGTGGCCACGTCATTGGAAAACCTGCTCAGCAATGCAGTTTCCTAATCAACTGATTATGTAATGACCACACAGACATATTAAGAGGTTTAGTTGTTGAGAGCAAATATGGAACTGAACATAAAGCAACAGAGCTCTGGTGTCACATGCCGAAAACTAAGCCCAGTCAACTTCATCTTTTTAAGAGCATTTCTCACACAACAGGTTTAAAAAGATTTTGATGATTCTCATTTATAGTCATAACATCGCCAATGCAAAATATGTACCAAACAGCATCTATGTAATTATACAGCATAACAAAAAGAATTTTTGATAAAAAGTAGAAGTCAGTGTTCTAGTTCCACATTTTGTGATTTTATTTTATTTTTTTAAAGATACAGAAACTGAAAGCACTCAATAGAAAATTAAAAGTAAATGTTCTGAGTCTATACAACAAAAACATTTAAGTAATTGCTAATAACTCTTTGGGTTGGAAAAAGAAAACTACCCCCAGCGATGCTAATAAAGAAGTTACATTAAATTGTATTGTGAACAGCAAGAGAGACAAAATGTATTTGATTAACTGAAAACTTAAGCAACAATAACACTTTTGACAGCATGTTTTGCCTGTGTTTGTGTGTCAAGCCATGACACATCAGTATATTACCAGACCATTCAAACTCCCGCAATTCACAGGAAACATGACGCATGCACGGAAATATTACAGACAAAAACTTAAAACGTGTCACACAGTAGAAATAAATTCTTTATTTACACATAAAACGGGCAGTACACAGAGAGACAAGCGTTTCACTGTTCCCTGACTGTACGACACACAAAAAGTAACATAGGACAAATATATCAGATATATAAAATCTGAAAAATTACTTTAAAAGACCTAAAAATCTAAGACACAAAACTATTCCTCCCAAACAAATTATTACATATTATTCTTTCAGCTCTAATTTTGCAGTTTCCTGGCAATCCATTATGTAACAGCTAGGCCACCATTTGATAATCTGGTTGTATGTAAGAAAAAAACAACAACAACAGAAACTTGTTTACAGGTTGGAGGCTTTAGTCATGGTAGTCCCTCCTTGTGGGCTTACTGTTGGGCACCGGTGGTCTATCACGGTCCCGATCATCGTAGCGGTTGTCATCACGACGACGGTCTTGGTAGCGGCGATCATCATCGTAGCGCTCACGACGGTCGTCGTAGTCGCTGCGGCGGTCGTCGTAGTCGCGGCGATCCGGATCACTTCTTTCCTCATTGCGTTCAGTCTTCTTTACACTCGAGTCCTCATAACTGTCCTTCCCCTGGACTTCAACACGTCGGCCCTCACCGTTTCTATCCGGCTCCTTGTCGTGGTACTCCTCCCCCTCATGAACTCTAGAAAGTGGAAACAACACAATCAGTGCAGTCAAAAGCATCCAATACTCACTCACAGAAAAAAATAGAATAAAAATCACAAAAGTTCTGTGAATGTGCTTGTCTAACGAACGGAAGTTGTTTTTTTTCTGACGCTCAGATGAAGAAATCATATGGACGTTGAATTCAAAATTCATATGGCACAGTGCAAAAAAAAAAAAAAAATCATTAATTTACTATGAAGTTAATTTAAAAACACAAAGGGAGTTTTTTGTCCCTTGCATGCTCAGGAATAATGGCAACTTCCTTTGATTACAGCCATACGAATAGGTCCCTTTACACCACAGACATGGTATGTGCACATTTTGTTCTTTTTTTTCATGAAAAAAAGATTGTATTCTTAAAATCCCACAAAATATTCAGTTCTGTCAGCATGAGTGCCTCTGTGTTGATTGCTTGTATTAATAAGAGGATGGAACGTTACCCCATTTCATATTCCTCATCTTTGTTCTTCTTCCTGCAACAGCAGCAACAGATGATGATGATGAGGATGAGTAGAATCAAGCCACCGACAACTGCACCAATTAGTGCTGGAGTGGAAGCAATGTTCAGGGATGCTGCAGGGTTGAAGACAGACATGTTAGGAGGGGGAACAACACCGGGGTGTGCGTCATAATTTGAGTAAAGATTTATTTACTTAAAAAAGACAAATAACAAGAACAACAACAAAAAAGAAAAGCCTTTTCTCTATTAAATGTTTCTCTTACGTGGCATGACCGCAAGGGTGAGGTTGCAGGTAGCAAAGCGGATCTTGTTCCGTGAAGTGCAGATGTAGTATCCTGATGTATCTTTGGAGATATTATAGAGAGACAGGATGCCGTCCTCTGAAACACAAAGAATTAGTCACATATACTGAAGGTACATATAACCGCTCCATGCTTCTTCTTCTTTTTTTTAAAATTTCATATGCAGAAAAAATAAAATCCTGAGTTTTCTGAATAGTATGTTCAATAATCAATAATTGCAGGGTGTGACGTCAGATGTGCAGTTTGTCTGCTAGTATCATTGTGTAACTGCCTTTCCTCTCTGTCACTTCCTAAAAACAAAAATAGTCCCTAGCAAGTCTTGCTTTATAAATGAGACCAGACTGCGGCAGAGAGTAAATATTTATGAAACAATTCTGAAACGGTGGTGGCTTGTGCTGCTATTGCAAAAAGAAAGAAAGAAAACTTAAAAAGTTACAATGAATGAAAATATTCAAATGTTCTACTATGAAACACAGCTGCCACTGTTGTTGTAGTTCAAGTAAAAGTCCTGATTTGGGAGCATCAAACAGTACCATGTGGTTCAATATTAAACCCCTAACAGTGGCTATGTGACAAAAGGTAAGGCCACTTGTACCGTTAAGTGTGGAGCATCACTATGATAGCCACAGTGGTTCTTGCAATGATTAGTAAAACTTTATGTACTCATATGTGACATTAATTTTCCAGGATCAATGTGTTGCTTACTGTCAGTGGTTTTGGGGGGTTGAGGAACAGGCTGATTTTGCACGTTACGACGTTCCCAGCTATAGGTAGGCGGTGGAGACCCTTCTGCTGACAAACAGCTTAGGGTGATATCCTGGCCGTACTGTGCTGTTCCCTGGATCTTACAGTCGGGCGTAGAGGGAGCCACTAAAAAAAGAGAAATATAAATATAGTGTGATTTCTCTTTGACTGAATTGCTATAAAACTCCTAAGTAGTAATGGATAAAAAGGCAAGTCACACCCTGCGCAGGGCTGACATGTAGCAGATAGACTTTCCAGTTAACTTAACAGTCACATCTCTGAACAGTAGGAGGAAGCCCACAACATGTGATATATTACCTAGAACCACCAAGCGTGCGGAGGCAGCTTGGGTGCCGTCTTCGTCATCTGGGATCTGCACATGACACTCAAACTCTTTGTTGTCAGCTAGTGAGATGGAGGAAAGCTTTAGGTTAGCCTTTCCATTCAGGACATCCACGTCCAGGGACGCCCGACCTTTATAGGGGGGTGTGATGCCAGTTTTCTTTATAGGATAGTAGTAAGTGAGGATCGTGGTCTGTTAGAAAATTACAGGATTAGAAGAGTAATAAAAACACAAAGACATGTTCTTATGATTTTTGATCACAAATACAAAGATTAAAGGTAGATACCAACATCTTTGACATTTGCTTCCAGAGCCAAAGCCGTCCATGTGATGACAACTGCTTCGGCAGTGTTTATGTTAATTGCAGATTTAAAGGAGCAGGGCAGTGTGATGTTGTCACCTCTGGCGAACTCATACTGACTTTGGGGCATGGTAACTTCAATGGCACCGACACCTGTCAGCACTGTCATGGACATAAAAACAAAATCAAAGAGATCAGTATTATTCACTTGCAGTTATAAACACAGTAAGTTCTGATATTTAACCATTTGTATTCTTTGGGTCCAACCCACTCCCCTGCTGACTGTAGGAAATTGTCTTGAGCATTTGTGTTTAAAAAAAAAACATAGGATATGTTACAACTACTTCCTGGCTGTCAGCTCAACTTTGGAGCCAGTTTCATATGCAAATGATAAACGAAAAAGACAGAGAAAGAGATATATTCTGTGTGGTTTCCGAAAACCATTTCTACTTTATTTGCTCGCACTGAAAAATAGTACTTTAAAAGACATTCAGCAATAATAATGGTGACTCCGGGCTTCTTGGGCCCGCTCCTCTTTTTTAATACGCGACCCTGACGGTGCACAAACAGGTGTGGCAGGTCGGTGAGGCCCAGAGGAAAGATGTTTATTAAAAGAAAAAAATACTCACCCATACACAGAATCGTCCAGTACAAAATCCTCTTCTCCATGGCAAACACTTAGTGTTCAAACTAACCCCCACCGACGGCTCAGTATCTACTTATTTCCTTTATAAGAAAAATGAGAAACCAACACACACGCATCGAAACCCGACAGCCCCGTAAAGAATGATCCGCCAGCTGCCCAACCTTGACGGGTAGCGCTCCCTGCCAATCGCGTCGCCTTTGAAGGTTCAGGTGACGTTTCTGTTCCGCCCACCTAACGAGTTTTAGCTTGTCCTTTGCTCCAGCATACCTGCCTTTTCGGGGATACTTCATTAATTAGATTCGGCTTTTCAAGTACAGAACACACCACAGGTCTCATTTTAAAATTAAACATGACAAATTTTGACATTTGGACCTCGAAATCTTTAGTTCATCTTGTGGAGGGCACAAAAAATGAAAAGAATCACATTTTACTTAAGTATTTAAGTATCTCTTTTATTTAGCTTGGTTTCTTTTGGAACATTCGGTTTTATTTTGTAAGAATGAGAAAAACGAGGTACGTTTAAAACGACAGAGAATAGCAAACATAAGACAGTCTGACTAGGCGGGGCGGTTGTGTGTTCCCAAGGAAAAAAACCACCATCAACACCACCAGTGGTTGCTTCCTTGTCAGACTGGTTTGACGAGGTGCTATCACCTAAACACACACGCAAAGGCGCAACGCAGAAACTGAAGCCAAGGGTGTTGTCATCTTAAAATGTCCGATTCTGAGATATTAATGCCCATACGGTAAAAAAAAAAAAAAAACATTTTTCCTGGCCAAAATATATTTCAAATATATGGTAAATATATGTTGTATTTACGGAGCCCCCCAGGGGACATGGGAGAAAAAAAAATTGGGTAGGAAAAAAAAAAAATTAGGGAGGAAAAAAAAAATTAAGACGGACTTTTGCGAGCGCTCGGCAAAAGTATTGCGAGATCTCGCAAAACTCCAACAATGGTGGCAGCTACTTAGTTGTAATATTACTCTTTCTGGGTCACAAAATACACTTTTAAGATATTTTGAGGCGTGAATGTAGTTGTGTAAACGTCAGATACCTGCTCGGTTTACAAGACATCACATATTTGCAAAAGAGCTCCGAGGTTTTTGGAGATCTGACACCCACTAGCTCGAAGCTAACGGGAGGTCGAGACCTACTACAGCCGGGAGGAACACCGCTTTCCCGGCACATCGTGCCTCGACCTCCCGGTCGGCTTCGAGCTGGCGGCCTCCGAAGAATGCGGCTAAAACTTTTGCGAGATCTCGCAATACTTTTGCGAGCGCTCGCAATACTTATTGCGAGATCTCGCAATACTTTTGCGAGCGCTCGCAATACAGTCCGTCTTATTTTTTTTTTCCTCCCTAATTTTTTTTTTTCCTCCCTAATTTTTTTTTCTCCCATGTCCCCTGGGGGGCTCCGTACATTTCCAACCTTACAGAAGAACATATATCTAAGTATCCTTTATTTAAAATGTATTTAGTGCAATAATGATAATAATAATAATAATAATAATAATAATAATACTAAAAGTAACAACATGTTTTATGTACATCTGCAAAAAACAGTTGGATTCAAACAAAACAGAGTCAAAGGTTTAGCAAAAATTAAGCTGTTTATTCATTTGCTTACAGTATTTCATATTACACAATAATGTAGCGTTCATTGACTTTGAAATTATCTGTCAGTGATACAGTAAACAAGATACAACAACTGCTATGTACACTTTAGTTTTTGACAATATATACAATATAGTACTTAAAGGAACACACTCCACTTTTTTTGAAATAGGCTCATTCTCCATCTCCCTCAGAGTTAAAAATGCAGCGTCTTCTTTCTAGATCTGTACGTTAATAAGGCTCTGGAGCATGATCTTACTGGATGGGGTGTAGCCATGATTTTTCATTGAGGCGCCATATTAGCAGGCCAAACAAATGCTTGCTGTGTGGTCGGTTGTAATGTTAGATTGCACTACCGGCAAAGGAATAAGATTGAAAATGGGCTCTCTTTTCATTGTTTCCTCACCTGGAAGCATCATGAGGGAGCTTATGGATGTTACCAAAAGAAGGCGTCTAGCCTGGGTAGCAGCTGTGAGACGAGCTGATATTCAGTTCTCTACCATCCACAGATATCTGTTGGTGTGCTGCTGTTTCCTAAGGAAGTATAGCCATTGGTGGCACCTCCTGAGAATCTCCTCCGTGTTGGCAGAGAATTTCAGGAGGTTGTCAAAGATAGTTCCCAGGTATTTGTACTCCTCAACTACCTCCACTGGATTCCTGTGGATGGTGGTGATGACTGAAGCAGCCAGATCCCTCTGCCTACTGGAGAAGGTCACCACCATCTCTTTGGTTTTGCTCATATTCAGTTGGAGCTGTCACACCACTCTACAAACTCCTGTTGCAACCCCCTGAAGAGTGGGTCCGTGGTGTTGTGAGGGGCCTGACAGCAGTGACAGGAGAACTCTGTCGTCAGCATATTTCACCAGGTGACAGTTGGGCTGTGTGGATCTGCAGTCATCAGTGTAGAGGATGAAGAGCAGGGGGGAGAGCACACAGCCCTGGGGGGAGCCAGTGGAGGTGGAACGGAGACCGGAAAGAGAGTTGTTGACCAAAACTTTCTGAGTCCTGTTGGTCAAAAAGTCCAATATCCACAGGATTAGCTGATCAGCCAGGTGAAATCAGGTGGAAAGTTTAGTGGCCAGGATATGAGGCTGCAGAGTGTTGAACGCTGATGAGAAATTAGCAAAGAGAAGTCTGGCGGAGGAGTCATGGAGTTCTAGATGACTTTTTGTCAGCCTGGCTACAGTGCTGAAGAGAAACCTAGGGTGTTTCTTGTTTTCTTCAATCAGTGATGAACAGTAAGATATTCTGGCTTTGCGGAGGGCTTTCTCACAAAGCAGCAAAGTGTTTCTCCAGGCTAAATTATGATCTTCTAAATTTGTGACACGCCATTTCCAGCTTACGAGTTATCTGCTTTAGGCTGCGTGTTTGAGAATTATACCACAGAGTCAGGTACTTCTGATTTGAGGCCTTATTTTTCACAGGAGCTACAGTATCCAGTGTCATATGTGGTGAAGAGGCTAAATCAATTCACCTACATATTGTGTATTGTGCCTTAATTAAGTGTTCCCTGGTGTTTCCCAGTTGCAGTGTGTGTTACTATCAGTAAGTTTGGTAGTTCATGAAATAGAAGAGCTTCTGTTCCTGTAATATTGAATGTTGTTTTAAAAGGTGTCCAAAACAGAAAATAAAGTATTTCAAAAGACAAGGAGTATATCACAATGAATACATAATTTGAATTTATACAATTTAATTAATTCCAGTGTTAGCAGTTAAATATTATGTATTTAGTACCAAATCACAACAGCAGTCGCCTAAAGACACTTCATGTTGCTGGGTAAAAACACAACAATAATACAAAGAAAACCCCAACAATTTAAGTACCCCATATGAGCTAACATTTAGTGTGAGTGGGAAGGAAAAACTCCATTTGAAGAAGTAGAAACATCTGGCAGAAACAGGCTCAAGGAGAGACAGCCATCTGCTGTGACTGGCTGAGGTTGATGAAAAGGAGACAGGACAACATATACACTGTGCAAGAGAGCAAGAGATACATACTAACTAATGATTAAATGCAGAGAGATGTATAAACACAGAACGAGCAAAGAAGGAAATAATTCATACATCATGGGAAGCCCGCAAGAGCCTAGGCTTATTGCAGCACAAATAAGGGAAGATTCAGGGTCACCTGATCCACTATAACTGTATTATTTGTCAAAACTGAGGGTTTTAAGGCTAATCTCAAAAGCTGAGATGGGTGTTTGTCTTCTGAATTAATATTGTGAGCTGCATCCACAGAAGAGAGGCCTGAGAGATGAAGACTCTGATTCCCGTTCAACCTTAAAATTCTGTAGGAACCACATACACCTAATATTCTAAAATTAAAATCTGGATTTCAAAGCAAGTCAGTGAAGACAAGCAAATATGGCTGAAATATGCTGTCTCTTTATAGTCCCTGTCATGACTTTCTCAGCAGCACTTTTGATCCATTATTATTAAACAATTATTGATGCAGCAGATTGAGATGAAACTTGGCCCAGAGGTACAGTGTCCCAGAGGAGGAATGTGTTGAAAGTTGGACCTCAACTATTCAGGATGATCTTTAATGAATTTTTGAAAATGTCATAATTCTATTGACTGTATTGCATTGAATACAAGTTTCCTGTAATTTCATAGGAATATTACAGTGAATCTGGATGAAACTTGGCCCAGAGGCACAGTAGGTGTCCCAGAGTAAGAATGTGTTGAAAGTTGGACCTCAACTATTCAGGATGATTTTTAATGAATTTTTGAATATGCGACCAGACTTTGGGCTGTCCCAAAGCAGTGTATGCGTGCACGTCTGAGTCCGCGCGCGTGAATATGTGAGTGCGTGTGCGCGTGTACTTGTGCGCGGGTCTATGCTTTCGATCGGGAAAGAAGGAGAAAAGGTGCTGCCGTAAATGCCGGTGTAGAAGCGCAAGAAAATTAATGCGACTGAAAAGAGGCGGATGGCTTGACTGCGGCTCACAACTGACGGCTCACTTGACCGCGGTGACAACAGGGGATGAACTTGCTACGTTGTCTTTTGTCTTCCCCATACCACCAGACGGTTGCAGCAGATGCCTGAGCCTGGAACTTCCAGCGGTTTTCCTTTCTGCTGTCACTAAGTGCTTACTCACAAGGAATCATCTGACCTGATCTCTATATTATAGGGTCTTTGCAACATAAAGCATCTCGAGGTGACTGTTTTTGTATTTTGGTGCTATATAAAGAAAACTGAATTGAACTGAATTGACTTTGATAACTACAAATGCATAGTAGTCGAAAAAGGAGGTGTTTGCCACTGAGTGTAATGTAGCAAAACCAAACCTGAAGGAGCTCAAGAGGTAACTGGGAAAGAAAATATTGAGGGTCCAGACTAAGGGTGAAACCTGCAGGCTGTGGAAATAAAGGGGTGGAGAAGGCCTCAGATGAACATTCAGATAGAACCCCCCACCCCACCCCACCCCAAAACAAACAAACAAGCAAACAAACAAACAAAAAACCCAAAGAACAAAACAAAAAACACTCCCTACAGCAAGCAAGCACTCTGGGAAGCAAAGGAATTAAGGAGCCAGATAGGGGTGCAAAACATTAGGCAAGGTGTTCAACGACTTAAGTAATTCAGAGTGTAGAAAAGAAAGGTTCTTGCACATTAGTGATGGGGTCATTTTCTTCACTCTTAAAATATTGGTGTTCTTTATTTACTATCCCATTAAACTCAGTGTCAGTGCTCACATGCCAATCACATATATTACAGAATTAAAACTCGACATTTTGATTTGACATTTTATTTCTTCCACAGTATCATTTCTGAGATTTTCTAAGTCGTATTTAAAAATGTTCACGGTATTTGTTATTCCTTCCCTGGTACTTGGTGACTTCCTGCCTTTCACTTGTGCTTGACTTTTTTTTTTTTTTTTTTGCTGCCCGACCATCTACTATCCTAAAAATTGCAATTAAGAGTTGGTAAATAAAAACAAGCCTCAGTCAGCAACACTGCACAGAAAACCTGCACAGCTGATAAATACAGAAAATCTAAACACGACTGAGGAAGTAGAGCAGATAAAAGTGTATGCCCATGTTTAACTGATGTGTAACACATAGTGTGAGAATACTTTCATTATTATCGTCTGCATGTGGTAAAACCAAAGGCACCGTTGCCACTTCCTCTTGATGATGAGTGTCTTTTTTTAACCTTGGTAGGGAGCAACAACAGTTAGGTCAGCACATTAAAAAAGACAAACATTTTTCTCACACTGCTCAGCAAAATACATATTTTTAACTTTCAAAAAGACTGGGAATGTCAGATTGAATTTCTGTAAATATTGTAGAATTATTTCCTGAAGTTTTCATAAAGTTGGCATTTTATGCTGTATCACATAACAGGCAAGGAGGTGTGGTAAAAGAGCGGTGTGTATTTTCACTATAATATTATACACTGAATGTCTGCAAAAGCATCACCACATTGTATACTTGCTACTCTATTCCCCAAACTTTTCCCTTCTCTGGCTTCACACACATGTAAACTTGAGTGACATCCCATTCTTAATTTGTAGGGTTTCATTACAGAAATTCAATCTGCACATTTCACGAGTCACAGAAAACCTAACTGGCATACAACGACATGGGTGACTTAACAAAACCTTCAAACCGACAACACTGACTGTACCCGGATTCAGTGTTTCATCTTCATAACCACACAGTGAGTGACAGCGCATAAAGAAGCTGATACAGAAACACTCACGGCATTCCCAGTCTTTTTAAAAGTTTTTTAAATTTCATCTGGGAATGTCATGAGTGTAAGAGTTATTTTGCTGTTTGTCTGTTTTAATGTGCTGAGACCTGACTGTTGTTGCTCCCTAGCAAAGTAAAAAAAAAAAGACAAAGACACTCCTCATCAAGAGGAAGTGGCAACAGTATCTGTGTTTTTACCACATGCAGATGATAATCATGAAAGTATTCTCACACGATGTTTTACAAATCAGTTAAATATGGACATACACTTTTATCTCACACAGTTTCACCTACAGTTTCACCAGTAGTCAGCCTGAAAATCCAGAGCCACACCATTGTGTCTCCTTCTTTCTCCACATAACACTCCACATAGCCACCTATCACTTTCACTCATGACTAGGTTCAGAGGCAAATGAGGAGACTCTACTCATGTAAGTCTGCTGGACCAGATGGGCTGAGTCCCTGCGTCCTCGAGGCCTGTGCCCCCCAGCTTTGTGGAGTCTTTCATAAACTGTTCATGCTGAGTCTGTGTCTCCAGAGGGTCCCAGTGCTGTGGAAGACATCATGCCTTGTCCCTGTACCAAAGATGCCACGTCTCAGTGGCCCCCAGGATTCCCGGTCATCACGAAGACTCTGAAAAGACTCATCCTGGACCAGCTCCGACCCATAGTCAGACCACATCAGGATCCCCTTCAGTTTGCTTATCAGCAACAGCTCAACATGGCAAAGACTAACAAATTGATTGTGGACTTTAGGAAGACCAGGAAAACCTTGACCCCTGTTTCAATCCAGGAGGTTTAATGTGGAAACTGTGGAGGACTATAAATACCTTGGAGTACACATAGACAATAAACTGGACTGGGTTAAAACCACCACTGCACATTACAGGAGGAGCCAGAGTCGTCTCTATTTTCTGAGGCGGCTGAGGTCCTTTAACATCTGTTGGGCAATGCTCAGGATTTTCTATGAGTCTGTTGTGGCCGGTGCTATCCTCTATGCTGTTGCATGCTGGTGCAGCAGGTTGAGGGTCGCAGATGCCAACAGGCTAAATAAATTGATCTGCAAGGCCACTAATGTTGGGGGGATGGAGCTGGACTCCCTTAGTGTCGTGTCGGAGGGGCAGATGTTGTCCAAGATAAAGACAATGTTAGATAACACCTCCCACTCACTCCATGACATGCTGGCTAGCCACAGGAGCACGTTTAGTGAGAGACTGAGATTCCCAAAAAGCCTCACTGAACAACACAGGAAATCATTCCTGCCTGTGGCCATCTCCCTGTATAACTCATCCATCTAATACATTGTAAACACTGCAATAGATACACCTTTTTCACACTCTCTTTTCTACTCAGTAATATTCCTGTCAATATTCTCGATATTTATTTATAATCACCTCTGTCAGTCCTTGATATTTATTATTGAGTGATTTGTATACATTGTGCTATTTCTTAACTTTGTAAATCTGTAACGTATTGTATCGGATGATTCATATGATGTCGGTCCACACTTTGCAGCTATAACAGCTTCAATTCTTCTGGGAAGTTGTTCCACAAGGTTTAGAAGTGTTTATGGGAATTTTTGACCATTCTTCCTGAACTGGACATGTGTGTGCTTAATAAACTGGCAAATTACAGCAGGATTTTCCTATCCTTGGTCAGAAGGCACAGGTGACTTATATGATGAAAGAGAGGGTCCACAGCAATGATAATTAGGGTTCCTTTAATCCAAAACATCTCCAGAAGTGAATTCGTGTGAGTATATGTATGTGTGGTTCTGTAAAATAACAGAAATTACAATTAGCAAACATTTAAAGTCAACCAAACTGGTCTAAATAATACAGAAAGGGTTGAACAGAAAGTCTAATTCGAAAATGACTAAACCCCACCCCCTGGTGGACACAAATGGGCTGCTGCACAGGGATAGAGTCCATCTTTACTTTGGGCAGGTCAGTTCACAAGGGTAGCGCCATTTTGGTCAAATCAGCGTGAATATACAGTGTCTCGTGGCTACACAAACCGCTGGAAAACTCTATAAAAGCATCACACAATGTACATAGGCAAGTATATGATACGTTACAACCATAGAACAAACAAATACAAGGCACTTACTTATCATTCACGCTCCAGTTCTCTTCCAGTTCTCTTCCATCTCCAAATATCTGTTGGTGCTCCAGACATTTTCATTCCGGTAAGTTCTAAATATGTTCATATCACTCTTTATAGCCTATTAGTTTTTATTTTCTATGCGCTCTGAGCTCATAGCAAATTAGAACAAACATCCTACTGAGTGATTTTGCAGAACTACCTTCTATTTATAGAGTTGCTAATTATTTGGCATTATTGCAGCAAACCAGCCGATGAAATGGATGAAACATCGTGACTGGGTTCCAGCGCTACACAAGGGACCTGCTGCAAACATACCACCATGCCAATCAGATTACTTCTTCCATGTGAGGGTGAAGAGGTGACCCTCCTGGATAAGATGGTGGAGGTTTGCTGCGTTTTGGTGAACAGTGTGATAATAAAACCAGGGAAGAATGAAACCTGCTCCTGTTAAATATTCTTAAGTCTTGTGCTGTTAAAATTACTGTATTTTTTCAAAAGATACAGTAAATAATGTTAGTAGTGGGTGATGTCATGTAAACACTCATGATTTTGTGTAAACATTTTGTCATTTGTAAACTATAAATGACTTGGATTCTACATTGTAACTGATGTGGTGTTCTATAAGGTGGTTTCAATTTTAAAAAAAAAGAGGCAAAAATTAGTTTGTTTCTTTATTCAACTTTTGAACAGTGGGACTCAGTCAGTATATATTCAGTAAATGCAAATTATTTACACGGCAGTGCACTACAGGCATAAATGTAGACCCCTAGATAAAACATTATGGGTCATTCCCACAACCCACAGCTTTACTGTGTTCCAGCAAAGTATCCAATAGCAGTGACAACTCCTCCACAGTAGCAGGTGGGATTTTTCTGTTTTGAGGACGGCTCCTTTTACCTGTCACTACAGATGGTCTGTTTAGGTTTTGATCAAGAGCCTTTTTTTGGGCAGCTGAAGAGGAGAAGTCTATCTTATGGCCAACCTCTGGCTGTATCTTGGTCATATTACCCAGCAAAACCCAGTATGCAGGTTCATCTGTAACAGTCCTTGTGCCACGGATCAACACTGTTGCTTCTACATTAAACAGAAGAGCAGCGACATGGCTGCAGGTCTCTGCGACTCCAGCCTTACAGGTGCAGTGGGCGGCTTCAACCTTCCCTGTGATGCTCACGGTGACCCATGGCTGCAATGCTGGTTCATTCAGTCTTTGAGAGTGCAGGACCTGAAACACACACAAAGTTCATTTAAAGACAAGAACTAATGAGCCAAGGCCGACGTAAATGTGTTTTATCTACTTTATCATAAATGTAACAAAGTGTTTAGAAAGTTAGCACATACATGTAATTTTTCATTTCTTTATGTGTCCATCTATAGAACGATGCATGTTATAGTGTAAATCTGCCTTCAGAAAATGAACCTAAAGTATGTACCGGTAATGCAAGGATGTCATCACTTTAGAGATGGAGAAAGCATAAAGTGACAATTATGAATCCCTTAATATGATAAGGAGATTCTGCAGGTCATTGATCAATATATAAAATTAAAATAAATTGTATTTTTAGTGACACAAGATACAAACATGGAAGCAAGATGTTTAATTAGGATTATTTATAATAAATATGAATAAATTAGTGCAATTTCTTTAACCATAAAGAATAACAATCCTTCAGGAGAATGTCACATCAATGCACTGAACTCACTATGTTATCCACCTAACAGCCTCCACATGTTCTCACTGTAATTTCCCCTCATGAATGAATTTATGCTGCACTAATCTGAATGTTTGCAGGGAAATCAAACGCATTTCACTCGCAGTACTCGAGCTGACTTACCTTTGCTTGAATGACGACTTGTACGCGCTGATTCCACAGATAAGGTACGAAAATATGTCAGGCTACGTCAGTAGCGGTTGGTCTTCAGGGTTTCTACTCCACGGCCCTATTTCATACTGGTCCACATTTCCAATGTACGCTATTTTCTGCAAGTACCGCTGCTTCACCTCTGAATGAAATCGGTCTCTATACAGTTCATTCTCTTTTGAGCTGCTTTTAAGCATCTTTCTTGTAGTCGTCGTTCCAACACAGTGTGTTTGTTTTGATTCGTAGACCCCGAAAATGGCGCTGCGCTCCCATAATGCATTGCGGCGTGACGTCAACTCCAAAGCCCTGTAGACCGAATTTCTGTAAATCCTGCAGAATTATGTGCAGTTTCATAAAGTTCAGCACAGCGTTTCATGCTGTATCACATAACTGGCAGGCAGCTGTGGTAAAAGGTTATTGAGCTGTCTACCTCCACTGTAAAATTACACACAGTAAATGTCTGTAAGAGCATCACAATATTGCTTCCTTGATATTTACATGACATTTAAGGCTTTGTGTAACCTTTTCCTCGTGAAATGATTAATGATTTTACAAGGTCAGAGTCATTTTTATAAAGAGTGAAAAGTAATCAAACCGTTTTGGGTTGCATAAATGTGTTTTCTGTTGTGAAGTGTAAATGTCCCTGTGCTTTCAAATTTGGACCAGATCATCCTTTCAGCTCCAGGTTTTCTCTCCAGGCTCTAATCCCCCTTTGTCCTTGTTCTCTTGACTTTATCTCGCCTTCACATAATGGCTTAAGACCTCACTACCATCATTTGCTATTACAGTTGAACCATATTAACTTACACTTCTTGACACACACACACACACACACACACACACACACACACACACACACACAAAGATTAGATATGTTCTTTATCAGTGACACGTCGGATGCTGGCTGGGTTCTTTGTTATTGTTCTGTGAAATCGGTGTTGAATAAATGTTTCAGTGGATCAGCAGTAATCAGTCTCTCACAGACCATTTTTTCTACTTGAGTGTGTGCCTTGGTTTTTCTCTCTGATGCTCGTGAAGTTCCATTATGCTGTGGCAGCTGAGAGTCCATTGAGACATCACTTTCTACAGAAACCTGCTGGGTAATTGTCAGATTTAAGGCCTCCAGGAGATCAGGAAAAAAATCACCCAAGCAGCTAATCTGTGAGCACACGGCATCTGCTTAAAGAAGCAGAAGAAAGCCTGCCTAATAGAGTTCAGGCTACAATGAAGGATAGTGGTGGTCATACCATACATTGACTTTCAAGCTTGTTAGAACTGTACAAACTCTATTTTTGCCTTATTTCTATGTATGTATGCATATGATTCAACTGATTTTCAGTCCCTCCCTTAAGGTTCTGATTTCCAAGCTCCTTAGATTACCATGACCTGGATGACTGAGAGATTTCTGATGAGGCTTCCGTGAACAGTGGATGAATCAACTGAACAGCCTGATGCAGCTCGATGCTGGATTTTCTTTTTTTAGACCTGCCACCTTTCTCCTCCACTTGTCCAGTTTCTTCATTCTTTTTAAGCACAGACTACACACCATGTCAAGTTGTCAGGTTTTTCAGCCGATCTTTTGTTGGTACCAAAATACATTTTTATGCCTGTCAAACAGTTATCTTTGGCTGTATGACATTTCTCCCTCTCTCCCGATCTATATGCACACAGTGGTGGGAAAATGTGTTTGCCCACTTCCTGATTTCCTTTTTTCTATATTTGTCACACTTAAATGTTTCTGATTATCAAGAAAAATGTAAATATGAGACAAAGATAACGCAAGTAAACACAATATGCAGTTTCTAAATGAAAATGTTTAGGGAGAAAAAAAATCCAAACCTAAATATCCCTGTGTGAAAAAATGATTTCCCCATAAACCTAATAAATGGTTGAGCCACCTTTGGCAGCAAGACCTGCAATCAAGTGTTTGCAATATCTGGCAGTGTTCTGGCAGTGTTTTATAGTGCTGTGGAGGAATTTTGGCCCACTCATCTTTATAGAATTGTTGTAATTCAGCCACATTGGAGGGTTTTCAAGCATGAGCCACCTTTTTAAGGCGGTGCTAAAGCATCTTAATCTGATTCAGTGCAGGACTTTAGCTAGGCCACTCCAACATCTTCATTTTGTTTTTCTTAAGCTATTCAGAGGTGGCCTTGCTGGTGTGTTTGGGATCATTGTCCCTCTGCAGAACCCAAGTGCGCTTCAGCTTGAGGTCAAAAACCTCTTGGATGAGTAGTTGATGGAGCAATTTTGGTTGGCCATCCAGTCATGGGAAGGTCCACCGCTGTTCCAGGTTTTCTCCATGTGTGGATAATGGCCCTCACTGTGGTTCGCTGGAGTCCCAGCTTTAGAAATGGCTTTATAACCTTTTCAAGAGGGAAAGATCTGAGTTACTTTGTTTCTCACTTGTTCCTGACAAGTGTCTGGCTTTTGAGGATCTTTTGGTCAACTCTACTTTCCAGGCAGGTCCTATTTAATGTTTTCTTGTTTGAACAGGTGTGGCAGTTATCAGGCCTGGGTGTGGCTAAAGAAATTAAACTCAGCTTTCCAAAGATGTGATACACAAAAGTTAATTCATGTCGTAATAAGGGAGGAGGTGGGGTGTGGGTGGAATAGAATTTTTCCCCATAATAATAAACAGCTCCCTTTAGAAACTGCATTTTGTGTCTACTTGTGTTTTCTTTGTTAATATCAAAATGTAATTGAAGATCATTTTAGTGTGACAAACATACAAAAACATTTTCTATCTATCTATCTATCTATCTATCTATCTATCTATCTATCTATCTATCTATCTATCTATCTATCTATCTATCTATCTATCTATCTATCTATCTATCCATAGTGTAAAAACAGACTTAATATGACCTTTGTTTACATGTTTTCTACAGTACATACCCTCCGTGCTTCATAAAGTAAATACATAGACAAGACTATTTTAGTGATACTTAAAGTTATACAATTATAAAACGTCTTTCTAGTTTGATCCACCTTTAGAGAAAAATGTAACTGTGAAATAATAGATTTTTTTTTGCTTCTTTTGTGTGTTTCATTTTCAGGCTTTCCCTCTAAAATCAAATACCACTGACACACTTATTGATTGCTCTTTATTGGTGCACTTTGAGTTCCACTAAGCGCACCGGGTGGCCGCTTGAGACCTGCACACGTCATCAAAATATCACGATAACTTCTCCAGTTGTTTTATTTTTTGGAAACCCTGAAAGGACGTGTTGTCATATCTCAGAGTTTAAACATTTATCCCAAATTATCTCTGGAACAGTCCGTTGGCTTGACGGTGGGGGAGATGGAGCATCAGCATACAAACGCGTCGCGCAGCCTCATTTCTCCTCCAACCCCGGCGCAGACGATGTTGTACACCGGTGTAGCCATCGCTTCTGTTTACGGTGTAATCATTGTGTTGGGGCTAATCGGCAACATCACACTCATCAAGACGTTTTGCTCTGCCAAATCCGTCCGAAATGTGCCGAATCTCTTCATGTCGAGTCTTGCGCTCGGGGATGTTTTACTGCTGGTGACCTGCGCTCCGGTGGATGCCAGCCGCTACCTGTCAGAGGAGTGGCTGTTCGGCAGACTGGGCTGTAAAGTCATCCCCTTCATCCAGCTCACCTCGGTTGGGGTTTCTGTGTTCACTCTCACAGCCCTGTCCGCTGACAGGTAGGTTTTTACCAGTGTAACTCATCATAACTAAGGATAACTTAAAGCAGCATCCATAAAGAAGTTAAACGACTGTATGTCTTCTATTGAAACCACAGGACGTAAAAACTTAATGTCTAAGTAGATATTTACCTGTGTATCGATCCTCGGAAAATTACGCATGACAGAGCTTCTGCTCTGGTCTGTTGCCACGTGCAAAGCTATAAATGCAATCAATAGCTACACAATCATAATTATTTGCTATAAATGTATTAGTTAGAATTAGGAAACTTTTGCTATAACAATCACTGGTACAGCTTCGTAAAGCAAAAGATGTTCTAAGTTTCGGCTTTTGGTGAAAAACATAAATGCTGCACCTATAATGTTCCTGTGCATCCTGTGCTTCAAGAGTTTGTTATCTGAATAGCCTATAATGCAATCCTAAACCTGATAGAGGAAAAAAATACCTTAAACGTATCTTTGACAAGAAACACGATTGTTTACATGTTTGAATGTAAGTATGCGAGGACAATCAATTCATTTTGCTGCACATTTCCTAGACCTCTTTTCTCCACTCCTCTCTAAATAAACAATGTTAAAGGATTTTACATAGAAAGTTTGTTCACACTGCATTTTTCAGAAAGAGAAATCTCAGCTTTAAAGATGGTAATGTCACATCTGCACTTGCGTGCAAGAGCAGGCTGATATCTATGGTGCTGATTATGATAATGCCCATCGAATGTACTGGTAGCATCTGAAGCATGTGTCTCAAACCATTGAGAGCATAAACAGTCAAAGACAAGAGATTCATTCACCGTATGCAAATAACAAGGGAAAAAAAGCTGCTGACCTCTGAGTTTTCCCAGCTCCAGACTGTTAATGGGACAGGAACACACCTTTGAAAACAACAGAAGCTGTAGATTCCAAACTGGTCTGAGTCAGTCACTATTAAGGAACACTGGTCAATAAGATGGAAATAACGTGAAACGTAATTTGATGGAAACAGGCAATGGGAGATCCTCTATGGGACAAAACCCTGTTTTAGATGCAAGGATGTGGTAGGTTTAATTAATGTCTACTTTTAGATTTCACTTAGAAAGCACTGACTGCCTTGCATGCCTCTACAGAACACACAAGGTCTGTTTGTCTCCTTGTCTAACTGCGCGTGCATGTGTGTGTGTTTAATTTACCTCTGTCTGTGTCTTTTAGGTACAGGGCCATTGTAAGACCCTTGGATGTTCAAACATCAACCTCCACTACCAGCATTATCCTGCAAGCATTGCTTATCTGGGTCTTGTCCCTGATCCTGGCAATACCTGAGGCTGTGTTCTCTGACCTCCACACCTTCAACATCACCTCCACTAATGAGAGTTTTGTTACCTGTGCTCCTTATCCCCATGGAGTTGAACTACACCCTCAGATTCACTCCATGGCCTCTTTCCTCATTTTCTACATAATACCACTGCTGGTCATATCTGTGTACTACAGTTTCATCGCTCAGAGCCTGATGAGGAGCACCTGCAACCTGCCAGTGGAGGGAAATGTGCATGCAAGACGACAGGCTAGTGTTAAATTTGTTACTTGGCAAGCTATAGATCAGTTTGGGTTATTCTTATGACATGAATCCCCACTAGAAATTTACTGTCAACTTAAAAATGATCGTTGCTTGTCTCTTGTCTTTATTACGCTACCAAGGAAACAAAAACAGTCAAAACAAAAAGTTAGGGGAATAATTCTCCATACTGGAAAAAAATGTATTTCTACCATGTTTGTAGTCTTTTAAAATGTACCATATATTTCCCCTGTAAATGTTTGTAATGGTCCTCAAAATCTGAATTAATCTAAACATTTTGTTTTTTGTATGTGAACAGCAGATTGAATCAAGAAAACGCTTGGCCAAGACAGTGCTGGTGTTTGTTGGTCTGTTTGCACTATGCTGGCTACCCAGTCACGTTATATACTTATACCGCTCCTATCACTACTCTCAGGTAGGCAAATATTATTATTATTATTTTTTATCAGAATCAGAATACTTTATTGATCCCTAGGAGAAATATTGTTGGTTACAGTGCTCCAGTACAAACAGTAACAAAAATAGACAATACAAGAAGTAAGAAATATCTATCTATCTATCTATCTATCTATCTATCTATCTATCTATCTATCTATCTATCTATCTATCTATCTATCTATCTATCTATCTATATTTAAAAGTCACTTACTAATAAATATCTGAATAACAAGGAAGAGCATGTGCAAAACGAGTGTAGCTATTGCAGTATTTGCACTGTTACAACTCATCCATCTAACACACTGTGTGTTAGGTGGATGAGTTGTAACAGTGCAAATCAGTTTATTTGTTTCTGTCTTTTTGCGTATTGTAAGTGGAACATATCTCAACTTTTTAAAAAAATCTATTCTGCACAAAGTTATCTGATATATCCATTGATTTATTAATTTTGGTTCCATCCCTGATCTGAAAATGCCGTCAGCGCTTTTTGATTTAAAATATGCTATTTAAATAGAAATTGTTGTTTTGGAGTGTATGAGAAATCTGTTCCTGTTGGCTCACATAAAGTAGATCTTTTTAAAAAGAGTCAAGTCAGATGAATTTAGGTTTTTTAAAAAATATTTTTAGATACCTCAAATCTAATCTTTTAATCTCTTTCTTGCCTGCCAGGTGGACACCTCGTTGCTTCATTTCGTCTGCAGCGTTGTAGCTCGTATCCTGGCCTTCACCAACTCCTGCCTGAACCCCTTTGCCCTCTATCTGCTGAGCAAGTCCTTCAAGAAGCAGTTCAACCAGCACCTGTGCTGTTGCTGTCGCATCATCATCAAACACTCACAGAGCCCGATACATTACAGTACACGTGTGACTTCTGTCCGCAGCTCAAATCACTCTATGACTGTCATTAATGGTAGGCAGCTCGGACAGGAGGACTGTGTGTGAGCGTGAAAGTGAACTGCATCATGCATGTAACATATGTTTGTGTGGTTTTCTTGTGGCTTCAGTTCTCCACATGATACAATAAGCCCAAAGAGTGATGTCTTCTCGAAAAACATTACACATCTACACAGTCAATTCAATCAATCTTTTGTTGATGTCCTTGAATCTTTTGCGGTGTGTAATATTTGTCTTTGTTAACTGTTAACTGTCACAAAAAAACACAACAGAAATAGAAAAAAACACAAGGAAAGTGTTTCTGGGGAGACAATAAACCGACGGACCAGTTGCAGGAACCCAAAACATGGTAGGTGTGTTTTATCATCCATCCATCCATCCATCCATCTTCATCCGCTTATCCGAGGTCGGGTCGCGGGGGTAGCAGCCTAAGCAAAGAGGTCCAGACCTCCCTCTCCCCAGCCACCTCCTCCAGCTTGTCCGGGGGAATACCAAGGCGTTCCCAGGCCAGCCGAGAGATATAATCTCTCCAGCGTGTCCTGGGTCTGCCCCGGGGCCTCCTCCCGGTGGGACATGCCTGGAACACCTCGCCCAGGAGGCGCCCAGGGGGCATCCTTGCCAGATGCCCGAACCACCTCAGCTGGCTCCTTTCGATGTGGAGCAGCAGCTGCTCTACTCTGAGCCCCTCCCGGATGGCCGAACTTCTCACCCTATCTCTAAGGGAGAGGTCAGCCACCCTTCGGAGGAAGCTCATTTCCGCCGCTTGTATCCGCGATCTCGTTCTTTCGGTCACTACCCACAGCTCGTGGCCATAGGTGAGGGTAGGGACGTAGATCGACCGGTAAATTGAGAGCTTCGCTTTTACACTCAGCTCCCTCTTCACCACGACGGACCGGTGCAGCGTCCGCATTACTGCAGCTGCAGCCCCAATCCGTCTGTCGATCTCCGGCTCCCTTCTCCCATCACTCGCGAACAAGACCCCGAGATACTTGAACTCCTCCACTTGGGGCAGGAACTCATCCCCGACCCGGAGTGGGCACTCCACCCTTTTCCGGCTGAGAACCATGGCCTCAGATTTGGAGGTGCTGATCCTCATTCCCGCTGCGTCACACTCGGCTGCGAACCGTTCCAGTGCGAGCTGGAGGCCCTCACCCGATGAAGCCAACAGAACCACATCATCCGCAAAAATCAGAGATGAGATTCTGAGGCCACCAAAGCGAAAGCCCTCTGCCACTTGGCTGCGCCTAGAAATCCTGTCCATAAAAATTATGAACAGAACCGGAGACAAAGGGCAGCCCTGGCGGAGCCCATCACCCACCGGGAACGAGTCCGACTTATTGCCGGCAATGCGAACCAAGCTCTTGCAACGGTTGTATAGGGATTGAATGGCCCGTAGCAGTGTTTTATCATGATTCATATAATACTGATGACGGATTTTTAGGCTAATAGTTAGGCTAACACACTTACCTCTCATATTTTCTTTCCTCACAAAACTGATAAATCCTTCACTTCTTTTAAGTGTCTCCCAGTGCAATTCTTAGCATATTTTGGTTCCTGCAACTGGTCTGTTGGGTTATTGTCTCCCCAGAAACACTTCCCTTGTGCTTTTGGAAATCTGTTTTTTCCTATTTCCGTTGTGTTTTGTGTGCTTTTGCAGCGTTTTTCTTATTGCTGGTGTTTTCTTAAGTTGCAGTCCGTTTGGCCTCTCAGGGCCACCGTAGGATAATCATTTTCCTTAAATAAGAAATTTACACAATATATTAATGTTTTCTATAACTGTTATAGGAAGCGAACAGTTATTCAGTGCAACTCATTTTTAATTTTACAGGGCCAATTCACAACAGTACAACATCTCAAAGCGGTTTGCATTGCTGGGTAACGACCCTGCAATACTAGAAGGAAAACCCCAACAATCAGTTTAGCTCCTGTGAGCAAACACTTGGTGACAGTGGAAATGAAAAACTGAAAAGGAGAATACGTGGGCAAAGTTAGCTTAAAGACACCAGAATTCAACAAAAGCAAATCTTGAACTAATAATTCAACAGTGTCCTGTTCTTTTATTGACAAAGAAACGGTCCCTAGTGAAAATGTGACCTTTTCATTTCCTACAGACTTAGTGGACTTGCTTTTTTATATAGAGGAGAGGAACAAAAGAGTTTTTTCCTCTCTCTCTTATTTCCCTTGTTTCATGTTGCTGTGTCATCAGCAACATGACTGATTAGTTGGCCAATCATTTTAATTAATATGATGAATTAGAAACAACACCAGCACTGTGTAATTGGATATATCTGGTACTTTTGTCTTCTCCCTTATTTCCCAAAGGAAACAAGAAGGTGAGAAAAACCTCAAGCCTGGATAAATGTTCTGCTTCTTGAGAAATATCTCAAGCTTTAATTCCCAAAGGGAATGAAGCAGACCATTTATCCAGGCTTGAGTCTGGTAGTAGAAGTATACTAGCTTGTGACTCCCCGAGGTTGTTTGCGTCTCCTCCTGGTTTGAACCAGGGATCTTTTGTGTGTTAGCTACATGTTTTAACCACTGTACCACAAACGGGAAAACAGCTATTGAAACGTTGACACATTCAACAGTATTGTATGCATTTGCTATTATTTTGTTTTTAAAAATAAGCTTATCCTATGTAATCCGTATGCAGCCCCACTGATTTATATGTAAAACTTTGACCAAAACCAAAAACAGCTGTGATGCTCACCCTCAGAAATGTATTTTAAATATTAACTGCCTCAGTTGGCATCGTGAGTAGTAAACAGTGAATGTAAATCCACACCTGTGGTATTTGGCAGCACAATCCACAGCGATATTTTTGTTATGTAATTTTGCATTTAAATGCATTTCTTGGGCAAGTTAAATTTCGAAAACGTCATATAATTTGTCAGACTATCATGTATTGATCACTTTTCTCTTACAACAGGATAAAACTCATTCAAAACCAGAGCCCTTAGTCCTGTTGACCCTGTATATGCCACATATTTTCTACGCCAGCATGCTCACTGGCCATGATTATTCTGTACTGTCACATAACTAGATTTACCATCAGCATGTCACATCCCAATGTCCTAATTTGGTGTTTCACAGTGGGAGAAGATGTTGCCTGTAGTTGTAATACGTGTGTGCATAATTCAGTTTGGGTAGTGTTTGTTTAGTTGTGGTTTGAGCACTTTGCCAAATTTCTGTCCTGCATGGTCTTAACCCCCTACTTAACATGTCATCTGTACAGACAGGCTCATTCGATGAAGAGTCTCAAATGTAAATAGGTTATTAACTTTAACAGTTAAATAAAGTCAGATACAGACCAAATCCGGACACACACTTTCATTTACGATCTGGAGGCTCCCCTAGAAAGCTCTCGGGTTATTTGTTGTATGTTAAATGTTCTGCCAAATGGTGAGATGTCTTCCCAGCATCTCCTCCTGTTCCTCTGTTGCTGTTTGACTTGCTGCTTCTGTAAGCAGTGAAATTATCAATAAATTCCAGCGTGTCTGTTCCATTTGCAGCTGTATACAATGTGTCCAAAGTGTAAATAGACCACCATGTTTGGCAGATAAGGAGGCATGGTCTGGGCCATGAGCTGTTCCTGTTCCTGTTTTTTCCCCTGCGGTTTTTACTCTGTTAGCTTTGTTTCTGTTGATTGTTCATCTGGAAATGTGCATCTAAATCCTGCAGAACAGCCTGCATCTTAATGAGCTGTGCAGTCTTACAAGGGGTTTTCTTCACCATCAAAATGATTTCTGTTCATTTTTTAGTTACCGCTGCGCTCTGGTTAAGTTTAAGTAATGCAATTCAATTAACTTGGTACAAATTTTAACTGTAATTCAACCACTGGCTTTCACTCCTGTTCTCACTGAATGTAGAAAAACTGGGTTTACAAGCTTAAAAAAAATCTAACTGCAGTTAAATTTCCACATGGTTTTTTCAAGCCTGAAAATATGAATCTTGGTGTTTTAGTGTGCATGGCTCTCCCAAGATGCTGACCACATCGAGACATGCTTTAATAAACAGTTTATAATAGTTTAGTGAAAAGTTTATTTTGGCAAATTAACCACCTCTGAAAGCTCTTTTCGTCATCTGCACGGTCACGTCTGTCCTCCTCATACATGCCTGTGCAAAAGTATGTCTCATTGCCTTATATTTTGCTCTCAAAGAGTCACACTTTCTTGCAGCTTTTTAAAAAATGATCCCGAGCAATCGTTCTCTAGGCTTTCGGAAAGTCTTTCGAAGTTTTGGCTGATTTTTCACTCATTTTAATTCTCGTCCTTGTATATGACCGAAGGTTTTGTTGTTCGTTTCTTAAGCCACTTAACACCGACCTATGAATTATTCAAGCATAAAAAGGCATCTAAGTGCTATTATCTGAAGACTTGGCATATCCCATCATAGCTTGCAGCATGTTCATAAAAACTTTAAGGAAATAGGCAAATGGAGGGGAAAAGAAGAATGGTAAGGCCTGAAAAACTATCTGCAGCAGATGAACAGTATCTGAAAGTCATGTCCTTAAGAAATAGGAAAAGACAAAGGAGAGATGCATCTGCTTATTCATCTACTCTTTACTGAAGTCTCATCACAGTATCAGTGGTAACAGGTCTGATGTAGTGTTTGCGCACTACTACTGTGATCTAGTGACAACTCATTCTCAAGCTAACTTATATTTTTTCTTTTCATTTTTCCATCTTCCTCTTCTTCTTTTGTTTTAAGAGTGTCGATTTATGAACAGAGCCTGAAGAACACTTTGAGTTCTCCTGAACTCGTCACACTTTTCACTCAGCTTCAAGGTCTGCGTTTGTGTAGGTGTGACATCCGTTCACTGAAATCTGTATCGATCTATGTGGCTGGCCACCTTGTTATAGTTAAGTGTTAGAAGACAAGCATTTGACATGTGAAAACTGTCAAATGTCATCATGTTTCCTTTTTGTCTGACTTGATGTCAGTATCCTTTAACATGAACTGTGTCTGATGAACTCACTCCTTTAGTCCTCCTGTAACAAAAGAGTGACACATTTTCAAATTCCATGTACATTTTTACCTGATAGTTGACTGATCGATCAGTGACACAAATCCAGTAACCAATCTTTAAAATGTGACTTAACTTTTAAAATATCACAATGTCTACTGCTCACCTCTGTACTGTATCGGACCCA